CCTAATGTCCTCCACACTATTCCTTATGTTCCACAAATAAGTGAAACTGTATGATAATTGACTTTCTCTGCTTGACTTATTTCACTTAGCATAATCTCCTCCAGTCCCATTCATGTTGATGTAAAAGTTGGATATTCATCCTTTCTGATGGCTGAGTAATATTCCATTGTATATATGGACCACATCTTCTTTATCCATTCATCTGTTGAAGGGCATCTTGGCTCTTTCTACAGTTTGGCTATTCCGAACACTGCTGCTATGAACATTGGGGTGCATATGGCCCTTCTTATCACTACATCTCCGTCTTTGTGGTAAATACCCAGTAGTGCAATTGCTGGGTCATAGGGTAGCTCTATTTTTAAATTTTCTGAGGCACCTCCACACTGTTTTCCAAAGTGGTTGTACCAACTTGCATTCCCAATTCCCACCTTCAGTGTAAGAGGGTTCCCTGTTCTCCACAACCTCTCCAACATTTGTTGTTTCTTGCCTTGTCAATTTTTGCCATTCTAACTGGTGTAAGGCAGTATCTCAATGTGGTTTTGATTTGAATTTCCCTGATGGCTAATGACGATGAACATTTTTTCATGTGTCTGTTAGCCATTTGTATGTCTTCTTTGGAGAAGTGTCTGTTCATGTCTTCTGCCCATTTTTTGACTTGATTATTTGTTTTTTGGGTGTTGAGTTTGAGAAGTTCTTTATAGATCTTGGAAATCAGCACTTTGTAGTGTCATTTGCAAATATCTTCTCCCATTCTGTGGGTTCCCTCTTCATCTTCATCATAATCATCATCCCTCTATATATATGTGTGTATATATATACATAGCTATATATGTCTGTCTCTATTTGCATGTATATATGCTAATATAGTTACCAGTACTAATTATATTTATACTAGTTATACATATTATATATACACTATTTAAATATATTATTTATATATAAACATTGTTTATAACAGGTTTATATATATATATACACACTAATATAGTGTATATACACTAATTATAATATAGCATATATATACATATATACCTTGATTTTATATATACATATATTACATATTTATATATACATATAGTTTATAACAGGGTTTCTCAACCTTGACACTATTGACATTTTGAGATAGATAATTCTTTGTTGTGGATGACTGTGCTGTGCATCACAGGATATTTAGAAGAATCCCTGGCCTATACATATTAGGTGCCAGTAGCATCCCCCCTTGCAATCATGATAACCAAAATGTCACAGTGGCGCATGACCCTGTGGGGGTCAAAATTGCCCCTGTTTGAGAACTACTGCTTTAGAATTATGTGTTCATGCATTAGTCTCATACATCTAGTCTCAGAGTATGAGCTGCTTTAGGCAGGGATTATATCTCATCCATTTTATATCCCTTTTGCCTAACACACCACTAGCACACAACAGTTTCACAATAAATATTGGTGGCAAGAATATACACCATTGAGGTAACAGAATTATTCTTTGGTCTCATGTTTAATCAAGTTTGTGAATTAACCAATATTCTAAGCTGGTGAGTAGCGTAATTCCTTTCATCTTTTAAGACAAATATATTATGTACTAATTCCATAATTATCAAATGCTCTAAATCACGGTCGGGTACTCTACTGTAGAGGAAGGGAAATACTAGGCCTAGAGTCAGTACTTTTAAAATATAGGTGAAGAAAAAAAAAAATATAGGTGAAGATATTATCTGGGCCTTCAGTAATTTTATTGATATACACCCCAGCACCATAATTGCCTGAAATTTCCATAGTATGGGATTAATAACATCATGAAGATTTTATTTAGTGTAGAGTAACAGTAAGTTTCTGCCTGTAGCTAAAAAATACCAACATATAGATTATTTTTATATAATCTTTAGGAAACGTTTGTGAGAATGTATTGTAGATATCTGCAGTTAGAACATTGAGTCTTTTCTCCCTTCTTTAACACTTATACAACTCACTTCCACTGCACATCTTCTATAGGCACCTATATATCCACTCCATAGTTCTCCCAATTTTTTTTGTTCTTTAGTAATAAAATGTGCCTCAAAGATAAGATAAAGCATCCTGAGCTGTGCATAGACCAATCCAATTTTATTCTGACCCTATAATATCACACAAAGTAAGCCTAAGTGATCTAGTGTTAACTTTTTTACATTCAGGTAATGCAATTTTAATGAATATATCACACTTACAATTGTTCAGAAAGTTGTCTGTTTCTGTCTTGTTGATTTCTGAAATACACAGAAATGGTGAATAGAACAGGGCCAGCACATCAGAATTTCATAATGCCTCTGAATACTTCAAACAGGAAAGGCTGGTTAATTCCATTATAATACAGAACCTCTAGGTTGTAAATAAATAAATAAATAAATAAATAAAGCAACACTGTTACATTATCATAGAGCATGTTCATTGCCTTGGGAAAAGGGAGATCTGAACAGTGTTTCTTTAACTTTAGCATGGATAATAGTCACATAAGGAGCATCTTTATACTGTCAATTCCTGTTTTTCTTCCCAGTAATTCTCACTAAGTAGTTTTGTAATGAAACCCAGGAATCTGAGTTTCGTACCAGAAAATAAGATGCAGTATTTCCCCCTCTTGGGGAAATACTATTCTAAATCATAGTATTGATTCCCTAAATGCAATGATATTCTTACTATTATTTCAGGTTTTTTCTTTTACTAAATTCATAGGAATAGTCCCATTTGTATAACAAACATGAGTGGCAGGTCCATAAATCTGTCCCTCATTTAAAAATAATGTTACCCCTTATTAATCTTTCCTTCTGCTGAAATTTAGAAAGACAATTTGCCCTCTTTTCTACTCTAGCCCATGGCTCCTTAGCTTATTGACTTCTAAGCAGTCAGGCCCTAACCCTATGGAAACACTAAGCCAACCAACAGATACATAAAACTCTAAGTATTTGGGCACCTGGGTGGCTCAGTCAGTTAAGAATCTGCCTTCGGCTCAGGTCATGATCCCAGGGTCCTGGGATCAAGCCCCGCATCGGGCTCCCTGCTCAGCGGGGAGCCTGCTTCTCCGTCTCCCTCTGCCTAACCTCTTGCTTGTGCTCTCTCTCTCTCTCTCTGTCAAATAATTAAACAAAATCTTTTGGAGAAAAAAAAAATTCTAAGCATTTAATGTCTTGATTCAGTAGATTTCCAAAGACCAAAACTGTTCTCTTTGAATATGGCATAATAGGAGTTCTAAATACAAAAATTTTATTGTTAATTTTTCTTTTAGTATTTAATAGTATTGATAAGCTAGAAATCTATATTCTAGAAATGCTTCTTTTTGACCTTCTCCATTGTGGCTCTTTTTGGGGAAAATGGCTCAAATAAGGAAGTGACCATTTTTCTCAGTAAATATTAAATACCATCACCACGGATCTCTCCGTTTTAAATAACCTGTTCTTCCCTATCTCAACCTCTTCCTAGAGAAAGTTCTGGCTTTGCATGTTGATGCTACGCACAGGGCCAGCTTAATGGATGTATGTCTACATTGGGTCCTGGACTCAGCATGACTTTCCACTTGGCTTAATGCTTACTGTCTTGAAGTTCCTGATATTTTTTTAATTTCATAACTTGTGCTTTAAAAATTAAATCTATAGAATAATGGGGCATGGCATGAGCAGAGGAGATACACACAACATATGTGTCCATGGATTCTTGGCACCCCATTTGCATACATCATTTGTGATACCCTATAGATATCTTGGAACTCAAGAATTCCAGGGGATCCACAATGTTCAGCAAACTCAAATGATAAGATAAGTGTGTGATGTCTACCACTAAGGAACCAGGGAGCACTGACAGTCCCAGGAAGCCATGTTTTCTGTTTGAAGCAGAGCTTGCTTAGAACACAGAAAGAAGGCAATAGCATTCTACTAGACATAATTATTGGATGACCTTATTATATCCTTTCATTCTCCCATTTCTTCTTTATAGTAGCCAATAGCTTCTGCTGAAAATAATGGCATAGAAGGACTTTTCAGTTCTTCTTCACTTAAACTGAAGGTAGAGAGCAATGGTAAAATGTGCACATATCAACAAAGGAAATAAAAATTGTCAAGCTAGCCTTGTATGGTGTTTCCATTGATCTGGGAAGAGTCAAATTCATGCATGTGTGAGCTGGGAAATAGAGTTGTAAAATTTTCATAATTCCACATACTTAAATGCTTTTATATTTACTTTTGAAATTAGTATTTTACAATACGAAGATGAATAACACAACTCTTGCTAGTAATTTAAAATTTTAATTTTTTCACTTAGGATGGCATTAATTAGCAAACAAAAATACCATGACAAGTCAAGAAAGACTGTAGAAGAAAGAAAAGTCATATTTTAATACTCTTAACCACACATTTTTGTTGCTTTTTGAAATGAGTCCAACATTTTGCACTAGGCAACATAAATTATGTAGCTGGTTCTAATTACTCAAGCCTTTCTTCCTAAGCAAGCGGGGTAGGTGATCAACAGGTCAGGCCTTTAGTTAGGTCTATCACCTTTTATGTTAGTACCCTATGTTACACTTTCTACTTGTTCCATATCCAATACTGTGTCCACGAGCCACATGTGCCTAGTGAGCTCTTGAAATGTGACTAGTCTAAACTGAAATGTGCTATAAATATAAAATATACACTAGATTTCAAAGCCTTAGTACAAAAAAGAAAGAATATAAAATATCTTAGGAATAATTTTTCTATTGACTACTTGTTGAAATAATACTTTGATATATTGGGTTAAATACCAAATTATTTAAACAATGAATTTCACATGTTTACTTTTGCTTTTTTAATGTGGCTACTAGAAAATTTAAGATCATATGATTGGCCCACATGATATTTTTATAGCATTGTTCTATAGCACACAACTTGACTCTTAACCAAACTTTTACCTCCACTGAGGATCTCCTATGTTTCTTTTTTTTTGCTTTAATCTCCTGTTTCTTACTTTCTAGTATTGAGGACCTATCCCTGCTTATTTAGTTCCCCTACACCCAACAACAACAAAAAACTCAGACTTTTAAAATTAGTTGTAATTTATATTACAAATAAATAAAACAAGTATAAATAAATTATAAATTTTTCATTGGCAAATGGGCTAAGGGAAGAAGTTATAACAAGGTATATCAATGAAACTTGAAAGCAAATATGTGGATGGCATGAACCTTTTCACATACCATACTCTCAGAACATAAAATGGAAGCAAAAAGAAGAATATACAAAGCCACTTTCTTCATTTATAATTGGCTCCTGTAGCTGAAGTGTAAGGCCCAATAAAGGAAAAGAACCCAGGCCTGGAGGTAATGACAGACTTGCATAGGAGACCTAAGTTCAGGGTAGTATTAAAAATAAAATACTTCATTACGACCAATTTATCCCGAAGAAATCCTCCGTTGGTGGCAAGACTCCATAATTAAAGGACATCCAAAATAATTTTTAAAAATCAGTGCCTAGGGGGCACCTGGGTGGCTCAGTCATTTGAGCTTCTGACTCTTGATTTCGGCTCAGGTCATGATCTCGGGTCATGAGATCAAGCCCCACATAGGGCTCCATGCTGGGTGTGGAGCCTGCTTGAGATTCTCTCTCTCCCTCTGTCCCTCCCCACCTTGCCCCACAAAAAAATCAGTGCCCAAGACCAAAATTAACATGAAGCTGTTCTATGTAAGAGAATTAAACTAAATAAGAGAAATAAACTTACTTTTAATTTCAACTGATTCAGGATCTAATTTAGGGGGTCCTACAGCATCTTGCAGCTTTTCAGGTAGAACACGTTGAAGAATTTTGTCAGTGGTTGCAGGATCCTCAGTAGAGCGAAATCTAAAAATCAGCAGCATATGAGCCAACACTCCATGTTCCTCTTGACTGTGGGCCAAAAAGATAAAAAGAAAAATATGGCTTTAAAAGATATAGTTTGGAATTAGATTTATGGTAATATCACAATCTATTTTTTTCTTGATCATCCATTTGAAACTCATACATAAAACAAATCCATGATGTAATTTAAAAGATCCAATTTGGGGCACCCGTGTGGCTCAGTCGGTTAAGCGTCTGCAGTCGGCTCAGGTCATGATCCCAGGGTCCTGGGATTGAGCCACGCATGGGACTTCCTGCTCAGCGGGAAGCCTGCTTCTCCCTCTCCCTCTGCCTGGTGCTCTGCCTGCTTGTGCTCTCTCTCTCTCTCTCTCTCTCTCTCAAATAAATAAATAAATATTTTTTAAAAAGATGTAAAATTATTTAAAAAAATCAAAATAAAAGATCCAATTTATTTTCTTCTATATTCCTATTGTTTACCACATATAAAACTTCCAACTCAGCCTCCCTGCTAGTAAGCTAGTACACTCATGGTCTCCCTTAACATCAAAATATCTACTTATTAATATAAAAAGACACTCTATTGTCAACCATTTAATACTATCAAATATAACGTGTGGCCACTATGAAGTCAACTCTGGCTTTGGTTTTTCAGGCTTAATTCCCAGTGAGTTAAATCCAATGATATCTCCTAAGCGACATCATGCTCTCCTAAACAACTTCTAATCCTAAGGATATTAGAAAGCTTAACCAAATCATCTTGACGTCATGTGATTATATTTTCAAGATAGAGCATTAATCAGCCTTAATGTGGTTAGAATGAATTACTTCTTGGCATCATCCTTGACTTCTCTTTCTCATTCTCAGTCAGCTACTCTATCCCCTTTTCTTCACATACAATCAGTTCTCAGAGAATCTTACTTGTCACTATACAATGTATTGACTCCTTATATAAACTGTAAAAGGGAATATAAATTAGAGCCTTATTTTTAGAGGTCGGTTTTATCGGTTATACATTTGATGATCCATTCTCTCTGATACAGCACTCTCTTCAAATATACTCTTGCATGTGCAAAGAGATTTATACATATGTTTATCATAATTTTGTTTTTAAATCAGAAAAAATATGTAACAACTCAAGTGTCCATCAAAAGGGCATTGGCTAAAACAACCCTGACACATACTTGTAGTGAAATACTATACAACGAATTGTTGAGAAGATGTGTTATTTGTGCGAGTGGAATTGCTGGAGAGGGAGTTTTGTTTTCTATTCTATGGAATAGTATGTTATTTGAATTTTATATAATTTTGTATTACTTTTGTAATCTGAAAAAACAAACCGACTTTAATGAGATTATTGTTATATATCTCACCACCTTTCACTCACTCAGCAACCCTGTACAACAATTATTTATTTTGTCTTCTTTCTCTTAAACTATTCCTATACTGGCTGACTAATAGAAATAAAAACAAACAAAACCCTCTCTCTACCCCAGTTATTCAGTTTATCTCTCACCTTCTTATCACAGCAAACCTTCTTGAAAGGATAAATTACACTGCCTCATATTTACTCTCTTGCAGTCTGCTTCCTCCCCTTCCATTCCACTGAATCTTTTCTCTACACTAAGTGACTTCCTTATTGACATAGCTAATGAATTCTTTCCAGTCATATTATTTGGTCTCTCAGGAGTATTTTTTCAATGCTAAAACTTTTTGTCTTTCATGTGAATGGTGCCTTTCTCATGATTTCTCTTTTTTCCTTTCCTTCCCTATATATTTCCTAGGCTCCTATTTTTTCCCCATCTCCTTAAGTATCATTTTCTTCAGGCTTTTTTCATCATTTTTTTCTTTGCATTATCCTTTTTCTCAGAAATTCCACTTACATCCACCTGTTCCAGTACTTTGAGTTGATAATGAACAAAGGCACATCTTCAACTCTGTTCCTTTTTCCTCCCCTGAGTAAGACCCATATTTCAGGCTCATGTAGTCCCCTAGTATCTCAGCTCAACATCTTTAAGACTGACTTCATCTTTCCTACAAACTTGCATTTCTTCCTATTGATTTCAGAAGAAATACTGTTGAGTAGGAAGATAACTAGGATGAAGACGTAAACAAACTGGAAAGTGATTTGGAAGGTAAAACTGGTAGAACTTAGTTATTCATAAAATGTGAGGGGCCCAGGAAACGGAAGAGTGTAGGATGATGTCCAAGTTTCCCATTACTGTGATTGGGTTTTACATGAGTTAGAGAATTTTCTGTGGAATTTCCATGTGGAGATGTGCATAGGCAGCTATATAGTTCTAGGAATCAGAAAGACAGTTTAGATTGGAAATAGAAATTTGGATTTCAATAACATATGAAGTCATGTAGGTGCATGAAATCCCCTTGAGAGATTGAAAATTTAAGGGTTGGAGAAGTAGATACAGATCCAAGAGAGAATAGTATTTCAAATGACAGAGAATAGATGTCAGCTAAGTGATAGACTAAGAAGGAACTCTTGGGGTTTTTGTCATTGAAATAATACTGGAAACAGCTCTCATTCTATTTTTGAAAAATACAAATAATTTGTATTAAGACAATATATTACTTAAGATCCTCACATGGCTTAAAATGTTCTGCTCTGAACTTCTATTTATTGATGGTTGATTATTAGATCTGGAATTTTCTTAGGTAAATATTTGGAGCAGAAAGGGGTAGAGAAGAAAAAAGTAAAGAAAACTGATAAAGAGAAAAACCAAGAGGTTAAGACAAACCTCATCTACTACACTATTTTACATAGGGGACAATTGGCTATTAAACCAAGGGATATGACTTAGGTCCCTATTTATGCTAATTAGTTTCCAAAAACACAATTCGATAATATAGCCATCAATAATACCTCTGTCTCTTGAAATCAATCACCATGCAAATGCTTTCTTATAGATTTAGAGAATGAGTAAAGCAAATTATAACCCATCACTTAGAACAGTTGTCAAATGAATGTTGGTTTAACTGAGTTATATATCATTAACATTTCAAACAATATTTATTACTGACTAAGTTCACAAATTTAGTTTTAAATTATATTCAGAAGTCAGCATTTTAGATCTACATACCTGAACCTGATAATCTGAGACTTGACAAATTCTTCCCTCAATGGAGATTTATGAAAAGCATCTTTCACCTGTTCCAAAATTATTCAAAATGTCAGCAAGAATAATTTTCTGAAAGTCAATTTAAAACTCTATGGAAAATTTAAAAACAAAACGAAGCAAAACAGAAAGCATTAACCAACATTTCACAATGCATTCAACTTGAAGAATCTAGAAGAATCTTTTCTAGTATTCTACTTAGTGATTTTAACTGAACTCTGCCTTAGGAGTTACAGTATCTGGGAGCCATGGTAGTGGAGCCAAGAATGACATCTGCTGTGCTACACTCAGAAAGATACTAAAAAGAATAAACACACTGGTTTTTTTTAAAGGAAGAGTAAATATTCATACCCTGAGATACAGACTTCTACTGTAGGTAAACAAAGGAAATGAAATAATTCTGCCAACTGATGGTTGGGTCATAGATATGAGTGTGTCACAGAGTCACATCGTTCTTAAAACTGGTGAAAAAGTTGCCAAATATCCTGGCATAATCTGCACCCAGTTCAGAATTCAAAATGCTCTTAGAAAGGCCCATGTGAACTAGGCTATTTAGCTTACCTAATATGTTCTGTTAGGTTTACTTCAATAAGGTAGAAGAATGTATCTTGTGGAGATATTTCTTGCTACTATAATTAAGAATTCTAACCAACTTAAATTTTTAAGTTAAGAGCCAAGGTAAACATGTCAAGTATTTCTTGGTTTCAGTGTGTGAATATTGACCAACCACAGTTACGGCAAGCTAGTGATTGGCTGACAGAACAATGAACCTTTTTATTCTTTCACATCTTTTGGTGACTCCTCTGTCTTTGTTACCAAGGTCAGTTACTTCAATTATGAGACAGATCAGCACAGTACAAGTGAGTACCCTACTGACCACATTCACTTGGATTTTTTTATTTAAGGGCTTATATTTATTTTTTTTAAAGATTTTATTTATTTATTTGACAGAGAGAGAGACACAGCGAGAGAGGGAACCACAAGCAGGGGGAGTGGGAGAGGGAGAAGCAGGCTTCCCGCTGAGCAGGGAGCCCAATGCGGGGCTCAATCCCAGGACCCTGGGATCATGACCTGAGCTGAAGGCAGACGCTTAATGATTGAGCCACCCAGGTGCCCCTAAGGGCTTATATTTAATCAAATAATTTCAAAATTTTTATTAATTTTGAAGAGTGTTAAAAAGTCCCATCTAGGGGCGCCTGGGTGGCTCAGTTGGTTAAGCGACGGCCTTCGGCTCGGGTCATGATCCCGGAGTCCCGACATTGAGCCCCTTCATCGGGCTCCCTGCTCAGCGGAGAGTCTGCTTCTCCCTCTGACCCTCCCCCCTCCCAGGCTCTCATTCTCTCTCTCAAATAAATAAATAAAATCTTAAAAAAAAAGTCCCATCTATATTTCTTCATATGTAAATCGTTCTGGATGTTATAAAATTTATTTTAATGAATGACATAAAAAACAAGGAAAGTTTTTGCATCTTTTCTTGACCATTTTAGTTCCATTTTCTTTCCTTTATTTTATTTATAGCTTTAGAAAAGAGCTTATTCAGATATTTCCCTGATTCAGTGTTTACAAGTACAAATTCAACCAGAATTTGACCTCCTCTTACCAAGGTATTAAAACCCTCAGCCTTCTAGTGTATCAGGTAGTTTCTAGGTTGGTAACTGCCATTATGTTCTTACTCAGGATATAAGAAATGGAAGGCAATTTTGAAATTATCTAGTCTAATGCCTTAATTTTCACATAAGGAAATTTGTCCAGAATGAAAATTGGTAGTAGATGGTTCTAAAACTAGGCATCTCAACTTCTAGGTTAGGGTATTTTCCATCACATCATACCACTAACTACCTCACAGACTGTCAGGAAAAGTCCAAAAAGAAGTCCAGGCCATTGCTCTCTTGGCCTATACTGAAAATTTTTCCACTTTTTAAAAACATTTGATTCATCTCTGAGGATGAATGTTGAGGCCTTAAAAATAGAGATGAGTATCCATGTGTCTCCTATAGGTTTATGTACCCCAAACTAGTCCAAGGTCAGATATTTTTGAATATGAAAATACTATTCAAGTATGTGTCTGAATAGTTTTAATCTTGTAGTCTTTTGATCATGGTGTCTTCTATAGGACACAGGAGTCATATTTTGGGTCATCCTCACAGTCCCAGAATTTCTGGACTCTGCTGATCAAGACTGTAGCACTAACTATAGAAGAGTGAGTGGGAGGGACATGAAGGAAGGGCTAAAGCTCACTTGCTTCAGCCCTGCAAGGCATACCCTCCCAAGTCATGTATTGTCAGTTTTGTTTTACATCTTTCTGACAGGGCTGCTTCCCATTTTTCAAAGATATGCAAGATCAGTTGAATGGATGTTATGGAAGCTAGGTACCAATAAATGAATATAAAGTGATAGCAAATGTCCTAGAAATGGAGGGGAAAGTGCTTACCATTGATTCAATTTTCTGGCTCATTTCTGTGAAATTTTTAGAACCCTCTCTTCCAAAGTCGCCATACAGTTTGTTACTTGTAAATGACAATGTGCTATAGTAATTGTAGGTCTTCCTTTGATCTGTGAAGAGAGAGGGGAAAAAAACTCATCATCTTTTTGTCCGATGTATGTAAAGCATCATTATTTACATGTTTGCTGGTTGCTAGAAAGACTGAGACCAGAGAGAATGGCCCTACCCCAGGTCATCATCTCTATCATCTTGCCCTGAGCTTCATGGTTATCTCAGAATAAAAGACAACAACATTTATCATCGTTAAGATTTAGAGTATAAAAGCCATAAGAAATGCTTGGTGTTCCTGTGGGCTAATTAGTTATCTGTTATCCATTCCTGAATTAGCCACGAGAGACAGCAAGTCACGCCATCTGAGCATACAAACAAGAATGGACTTGGAAGTTTCCCAAGAGTAAATGCACTTTTATATTCCAAAAGTAGATTTCTCCCAATTCAGTAAACTACGTATCAGTTTTGGCCACAAGCACTGTAGTGTAAGAAAAATTTATTTGGGGTAGAGAAGATGAAGGTAGGGATGAAAATGCTTGCGGTTTAGTTAGGGAGCTAGAGCTGCCATCTGGCATAACCTTCCACAGACACTTATTTTCACCTGGCTCCCTTGTCACTCCATTTATTTTCTCCCCCCAACCACAGGGTTTGTCTTGTCTTGCCATTGTATGCACTTTCTGCATCCAGTTTAAGCAGCCCACATTTTTGGCCCACTGAAAATTAATATAGCATTCGTCTACCCTTCTATATATGAAGCAAGCACGAACCCTAAGAAGATTCATTCATTCAACAAATATTAATGCTGCCTACCTTTTCTATGAAAGACTCTGTGTTGAGTATTAGGAATATTATGGTGATCAAGACAGTTGTGTGCGGTTATTGTAGGATAATGGAGTGTGTTTCACCCAACCTCAATTTCTCTCCTCTTCTTCTCTCCTGCTTCTCATTCTTTCCTTCTTCATTTGAACCCCAGAGGAAAAGGAAACTAACATTGGGCACCTGAGTCCCAAGCATATTCACGTATCTCATTTCATTTACCATAACTCCCACGGGAAGGCAGTATTGTCCACATTTAACAGATAAAGAGTACAGTCTCAGAAATGTAAATTAAAAAAAAAAACTACTGGTAAATTTCAGGGTGCCTGGGTGGCTCAGGTCATGATCCCAGGGTCCTGGGATTGAGCCCCGAATCGGGATCCCTCCTCCACAGGAAGCCTGCTTCTCCCTCTCCCACTCCCCCTGCTTGTGTTCCCTCTCTGTCAAATAAATAAATAAAATCTTAAAAAAAAAAAAAAACTACTGGTAAATTTCAAAAGAACATCCCCGCTGTCCCAAGGATTTGGTTGGATTGACAAGGCTAAGGAACAGCCAGTGATGCAAAAAGAGATGGAGGGCAGCCTGAAAGGTTAGGACCTTCTGGGAATTAGCACCAAAGTGAGGGGCTAGGGAGGTTTTGCCTTTCTCGCACTTTCCTTACCTCCCTTTCACTGAATGGCCTTGACCTGAATGGCCAGAGTGACCCGAAATGCAGGCAGGTCCCTGGAAATATACATAATCTCAAGTAAGGTTTTTAATTTATTGAAATATTAGACATTGGGTCTAAACTGGGCCTAAGAATCTGCATTTCTATCAGACTCCCTTATGTGATACTGCAGGTGGTGGGACCTAACCTCTCATTGAAAAGTTAGTGTCTAGAGAGGAGAACTGACTCTTCTACATATTAGTCCTATTCTTTTTTAAATTATTAGATTGAGGGTGCCTGGGTGGCTCAGTCGGTTAAGCATCTGCTTTCTGCTCAGGTCATGATCCCAGGGTCCTGGAATCGAGCCCCTCATCGGGCTCCCTGCTTAGTAGGTAGTCTACTTCTGACTCTGCCCCTCCCTTCTGCTCATGCTCTCTCTCTGGCTCTCTCTCTCTCAAACAATTAAAATCTTTAAACAATTATTAAATTAATGAATTTGAAACTGCCATTTGTAGAAGTCAAAAACCAACAATTTTGTATGCTTCAACTAAATGAACAACTTGTCTGTAGTTAATATTTTACTTTACTCAATAGATTCAAACAGGTCACTAAGTGTCAAAACATATTTCCCAGTTGCCAGAATTATATGACATGTGTACTTGTTGGAAAATATTATTGGGGAATATTAACAGAAAAGTAAGAAAAATAAGGATGAACATTAGTTTGCTGATAATTTTCTAAAAAGTTTGTGAATCTGTAACCTACAAGGATGTTGCTTATAATAGAGTCACCTTCTGTCATTCAATTCACAGAGGGACAGAAATGAGCCCCAAAGGTCCCTGAACACCAGCTGCACACACAATGCTGTGCCATCCTGGGCTTTATGCCAAAGTGAGTTACCTCCACCTTAATCTTTCTGTTTCTGTAACTATTTCGTTTAGTTTGGTTATTTAAGTATGCCAACTCCTAAAAGCTCATGTGCTATATCCACTCTGTCCTTTGTTTCTATATCCAAACAGAGGGCAGGTCACACATGTAAGACAGTAACCCATATCACAACAATCACTGTTTATTCAGGTGTGTTGTGTGGGCAGTGGAAGTTGGGTGTTCCATATTACTACACTGATCATTCAAACAATAGGACCCAGGAGCAGGTTACTGGAAAAATCTTGCCAGGTTTTCATTGTATGCATGGGAGCAGATGGCCTGGGAAGAGGCAAAGGGAGAAGCAGTAAGAAACATTTTCTCTCACTGAGGTAATGAGACCTCTAGCTATAGTAGGAATTCTTTATGATGCCAGACAAACCGAAGTATGCCCCCATGAAAATATCATAGGTATGATTCACTAATCTTTATCATTCAGTATTCAATAAATATTAATTATTTAATATGTGCCAAGATCCTGCTAAGTTCTGGGAATACAAAAATTAACAAAACAAAGTGCTAGGCATCTGTGGAGAAGAATAAGGATGCTTACAATATAATGAACTTGATATATTCATAACAGAACTGTAGAATTATAAAGTTATTTTAGCCATTCTTTTTTTTTCTTTTTAATTAAAAACATGCTCCAGACAAATAACCAAAATGTAGATACTCCAAAACTTAAAGACTTGTGTGTGGGTAAACTCTACCAAAAAAAGTCTTTACTTTATATATTTTTTTCTTTAAGCTGCCCAGGAATGATCTACCTTGCTTTAGAAATTGAGATGGGATTTGAGATTGGAATTGAGATTATGTCTGTCAGTAGAGGAAGACCACCAATTTACAGATCACCATGTCTCTTTACAGGAAAGCAACTTGTGCGAATTCCCAATTAAATTAGAATCAAGAAATTAGCTTCTTTGGTTACAGTGTCTTGAACATCAAAGCATTAGCTAGTCACTAAGGGAGATATTAAGCCAATAGGTCATAGTGGAGTCGACTGATTATAACTTGAGGCAGAGTAGAGGGAAACTTTAGAAGGGTTGTTATACCCTGGAAGAACAGTCCTAAAGTACCCTGGGGATCTTTTTACCACTCTAAAATAACAGAGCAGACTCATGGTTCATCTGACTGCGAGATACCTGATTACCAGAGTGAACCTCTTTATAATCAACCTTCTCTGCATATCCTATCCTCTTTAATCACATGTAATACATCCCAAGATGAGATTAAAAATAACAGAAATAGGCACTTACTAAACAATATATAACTATGAGCATTTTCCAGGTTACTAGTACAGAATAGAGCCAGCTTCTCTATGATCCTTGATTATGTAATTAATTTTTGGGGTCTCAAGATGTCAATAAGTTGGAATAATTTTAAATCAAGGTGATTGCTCTACGTCCTCAAACAACTCAACACGTTCAACTTTAGCTCTCCTATGATCTTCCCCTGTTTAATATTTGATTATCATTTATTAATGAATATAAAAACTAGCATGCTATTCCCAGCAGGAAGCATTGCTACATCAAAGATAAAAGAAAGACTCCTCCTTGCCTTGGGAGGATTAAGTGAGAGAGACAAGGCAGGTAAAGATTTCTTTGTACCAGCTATGCAAATGAGTTTCAGTCATGAATGAATAAGCCTGAGGCAAATCAAAACCAGAGTGCACACGAGGAAATATGCTGGGCTAAGTCACATGATGCCAGGGCAGCCCATACTTACTGTATCTCACATAATGAACAGTAAGTCCAATGCACACTGCCAGGACAATCAGGGAGATAAAGGTGATGAGGCCAATAACCCAGGGCTCCAAAGAAACTCTCTTCCTGTTCTTCACCACAGCAGGCCTGAGAAAGAAAGCAAATAAATGGCTTATATCACAGGGTGCACCACACCCACTCCTTAGGTAAAGCAGATATTTGTGGGGAATTCAGGACCCTCAGGTGGTAGAGTACTGTTTTGGTTTAGAACACATCCTGGCTGCTGAAGCCAATCCTGGCTCTGGTTGCCTGACCTTAGGCAAGTCATTTGACATCTCTCTGCTTGTTTCCTCATCCATAAAGTGAAGATGATAATGATAGTCCCTATCTCATAGGATTGTAATAAGGATTAAATGAATTACTATATATATAAATTGCCTACAACAGTGCCTGGCATGTAGAAGGTACTTAGGAAGTGTTAGCTATGATTTACTGAGCTGGCTATGTCCAAAATACTGAGTTAGGCACAATTGGAGCTATGTAAATGTTTAAAGCCTGATTTTACCACTAAAATCTAAAATCTTAAATGCCTATGAACTATGTTACAGCTTGATCCATACTGTTCCAGATAGAATTTCTATTTCTACTCGATTTTTCTGATTTATTTCCAAACAAATTTTGACGATACATATAAGAGATAACCAGAATTCCCTTCTAGAGAACCTGAGTGCTTGCACTCGAAACTTCAGTAACACTACAGGAAATCCCTTCTGCATAAGATTCTCTCAATGTCTCCCATTTATTCTGCCTTCAAAAACATGTTACTGAAAAATATTGGTCAGTCGGGTTTTTGTTTAATTAGTACAGTTGCTGTTTCCTTGTGTTATAATAGTTGCTAAGCAAACTCCACAACTAGAGAAAATAAAATAATAAGTCAGAGTTGGCTAAGGAGTTTGACTATGAAGCTGTTATTTTAAATTTCTTGAGGTATTTATCATGCTGGTAGAATCGCTGGCAAGTATGCTGATCTCCAGAGCGCTGTCTGGTTTGTGAGGACTGCAAGTGTGTCACGATGCTGGAGGAGCACAGGGAGTTCAATCACAGTAAGGAGGATTCTGAATCCAGCTCTTCCCTTAGCAACTTGGACAAATCATTTAAACTCTGGGCTAAGTTCTTCATCTGTCAATAAGGGGCAGGATAGCCATTCAGTCTAAAGCACGTGGTTGATTGTGGGATCCTGAATGAGATCATGAATGGGAAAACTTCTTGCAAAATGCAGTTATTTTTGCAACAAATAATATGTGCTTACAGGAATCAAGGGGACTCTGTTTCCAGTTATGTAGGACCAAGATGTGATATCATCTTGGGACCTATCACATCATAACCTGGCTCTGCCTCGGTGTTTTCTTCTGTTAGAACATTGTCACAGAAGTCAATACTGTCTTCATTGCTACATGACTCTGCCCATCCTGAAGGCACTGAGATACAGTGAAAGGCTCTAGAGACTCTACTAGGTCTTCTCCCTTGTTCCTGTGATTTTCCTATGGGACTATAGCCAAGGACACTTCATCTTCCTCTCCCCAATCTCTTCAATGTCCCTTGAGTGATATGCCAAACACCTGATCCTACAACGGCAATTACTGCAAGATAAAAAGATTGCTCCATGAGAAGGTTGTTAATTTTTTATGTGCAAATGTGCCTAAGAAACCTAAAAATTGATCCCTGTTCCTTCATCTCTGAATGTGTGCTATTCACCTGTTGCAGAAGAAAAGAGATGTGTATAGCAGACGTAAGCAAAACTTTGGGGGAAATATGGGGAGGGAAGGGCTTTCAGCTAATGTCAAAACATGCCAGATGAAGAATATGAATTTGTAATTGTAGCAAATGTGCTACAATTATCGAAAATATATGATCACTATGTAGAGTTGTGAAATATGGCAGAAGTTCTAATTGTTCTGTAACTCTTAATCAAGACAGAAAAGTAAAACAATGCAGCCATTAAATTGATGGGGTAAATCTAGAAGTATTAACATGGAAATAGTCAATGATATATTTTAGGGAAAAAATGTTGCAGAAAAATATGCATTTTTTTAAAATAACTTTTAAAGATTTTATTTATTTATTTGAGAAAGAGGGAGCAAGCACGAGTGAGGGTAGGGGCAGCGGGAGAAGCAGACTCCCCACTGAGCAGGGAGCCCAACACGGGGCTCGATCTCAGAACCCTGAGACCATGACCTGAGCCGAAGGCAGATGCTTAACTGACTGAGCTGCCCGGGTACCCCCATCAAAAACACTTTGAATAAATAATTAGGAGAGTCTGATTCTGAGTCCTGCCACCAACTTATTTATTGTATAATCTTGTACCAGTAGATTCAATTCTCTCTTTTTTTCTCCATGTCAAAACCAGAGATAATAATTTCAGACCGCACCTAACATGATGAGCTATGTAGAGATAAAAAGAGTAAAGATTTTTGGTACTTTGAGTTCACAAGCAGAAAATCATCAGCAAGGACTATTATTATTATCGTCATTATTTTAATTATTAATAATAATGGTAATGACCACATTACTGAGATGTTTGTCATTTGAAACATTATTTCTTCCCTTCCTAGTCTGTATGGCCATTGCTTTGCAAACTGATTCACCCTGCTTCTTAATTACTTTTTTTGTTGCTCTCTCAGCAAGAAATTAAATACTGAATTACTCCAAATTACATGTGGTAGAAGTGTGCTCAAAAAATAGGTAAAATGGAGGAATAAATCCGTTTTACATATCAATAGACAATTATGTAATTAACCTCTCCTGTACATAAATCTTTGTCATTATTGTGGCCTTTTGAACCTTATCTGAACCTTTCCAGGTAAAATCACCTTCAGACAGACTGGATAAATTCTAATAGCTTCAGTGGTGTCAAATTTCTTTCTTTCTATGATTTTTCCTTTCAATTTGAGGAGATGTCTGATTAGATGATGAATATAGCAGTTAAAATATGGGTACATTTTTATGAGCCTAAAATTGCCAGAAGACAAGTAATATGTCCAGAGTTGTATTATCATTATCACTTCTTAATGTGTCATTTTAAGAATAGTACTAAAAAGGAAAAGCAGCATCAGCAACAAAAAGGCAAGGGCAAGAAAAAGATACTAATGCAAATAAACCTCATGGCAAGCACTGGAGAGTAAGTCAGGGCTCACAGTACTTCAGAGGAAAGTTTATCAGAACAAACCCCACAGTACACCACCATTGTAGACTGATTACCAGTGGATCTCAAACTCTTTGCTCATTCTCTGTAATGGTAAGCAGCAATGATATTCTTAGTCTACATGTTTCACCACCCTGGTCCAGCTGAGATGTTTTAAATAAATATATGCACAGTATCTATAAAGCGGGTGGTTCCAAAGCATTATTATCAACTACTTAAACCAGAGGTCAGCAAACTCTTCCGTAAAGTTCCAGATAGAAACTATTTTAGGCTTTCTGGGTCACATATTCTCTGTTGCAACTACTTAGCTGGGCCCTTGTAGCCATAAAGCAGCCATAGAAAATACACAAATGCTCATGGCTGTGTTCCAATAAAACTTCATTTCTGTGCACTGAAATTTGAATTTCATATAATTTTCACATGAATAGTTTTCTTCTTTTGATTTGTTTCCAACCACAAAAGTATAAAATCATTCTTAGCTGAAGCACTGTACAAAAACAGGTGGTGGGCCATAGTTTACTGATGGTTGACTTAGGAAATAGCCTACAAGTCATTGCTATTTGTGTTGGGAACTATAAGAATCTTTTCACTTTCTAGTCTCATCTGCATGGCAAATTTAATGTAGTCTGTCTCCAATCCCATTGCCACTGACTTTATTCCGGAATTCTCACTAAAATGCATCCTGTAGCTTAATAACAGGTTTTTCTTCTGTCCTCTCAATCTCTGAATTATTCTCCATTCCAGTAAGCTGTCTTTCTAGAAGTGATGTAGCCAATGGCTGAGACTACTAGAAACCCAAGTTGGCCTTAGTTAGTCTGGCATTCCTCTTTTCCCCATGAACTTTCAGGCTCTTTGTCTTCGCTTCTGCTTGCCTCCTATATGGAGAAACAGAGTTTATGCTTTGCTTGCATCTTAAAAGCTTATCTGTATTTAAGAGCCTGTTCGAAAAGTCCTCTCCACTTCAGTTAGTTCTACCCTGAGCATCACATTGAAGTACATATTTTGAGCTCCTTAAGGATAGGGACTGAGCCTTATCTCTATATTCTCCGATTACATGCTTAAGATAGGTTCACAGAAGGAATTGAATTGAAGTTGACTAAACCAGATTAAACTGACCATTTGTCAATACTATATTATGGGTTTCTGTCTCTCTCAAAGCACTTCTGGTTTGCCTTAGTCTTAGAAAAGAACTTGGCATATTACATACAAAGAAAAACAGGTTAGACATTGTGGAGAATAACTACTATTTAAGTAAAGCCTGATTTCCATAAAACACTTTATATAATGATCAAGATTTGTGATTAATATTTCTATATCACCTGGGTTTAAAATACATGATTTTCCAACTGTAATTTGATCTATCCACTGTAAAGTCTTATTATAGGATAGAAAATGACATATGCAAATGAGGGGACATTAACTTCAGGAAACACATTATTTGGGGCTATTGAATGTCTGTATGTTACAATATCAAAACAAAAGCATAAAAAAAGATACCACAATGAAGTAACAACCTAGTATCTTATGACATTGCTAAGCCCCTAAATCAGTGCTTAGGATTTCAAGTATCAGTTAGTAAGTATTTATTCAACTTTTATTATGTTTTTGGCACCAGCTTATTTCTTTAGCTTATTGAGTTGTGCCTGCTTGTCCTATCCACACAAATACTTCCAGTGCTTTCTTCTCTGTGGAAGATTTATACCAGCAGGCATTGGAGAGATCTTTAATCTTTCTTATACCTTGTCGAGTAAGACTATAAAAATATAGAGGGTGGAACTAAAGTTTGTATATGTGTGCATGGATCATATATTTTCATTGCTTTTTCTTAAAAAAAAAGAATTATAAACTACTTCTTCTAAAATTGCAAAGAACTTATTTCTGTCTTGTTAACTGTTGCACAAACATATCCATAAAGTACCTAATAATATCAGCCAGGCCCTTGGAC